TAATTAAATATCACACAGTCATTTTCCTGCTCCTCTTCACCAGAGCTTCTTTAAACATAGATGACAGTTTAAATTTATTAACGGATATTGATCACCCACAAATAAATAATTCTTAATGTGTGTAAATATACAAATGCATTTATGTACATATGTATATACATATATGGGATAAAATATTTATAATAAATATACAAATGCATGTATGTACATATGTATATACATATATAGGGGATAAAATATTTATAATATTTTTAGACATTTATATGTACATTAATTACTCATAAAAGTTAAAAAAAAAATATGCATTCTTGAGTACGAGTATATTAAAATGCCGATATTTATTTGTATTTATAATAATTTGAGTGTAATTTTGATGCCATAAAGCTTAATGACAGAAGATCATACCTTTCAGGTGCCAAAAGACTTAAATGCTATTGAAAATTATAATAAAATGCTTTGGGGTGTGTCAACATAATTTGTAGAGTAATTTACGATTTTTTAGTTTTTCTCGAAACTTCTTGCAAGTTAAGTTGTTGTGCTTGCCAGGTAACTCTTTTTGAATAAGCGCATTGACGTATACTGACCCGTTGCAATTCCTGTAAGGTCTCTCTCACCTTTCTTCGCGTTCAAATCATTTAATGAATTTAATGAAGTACTCAAGATTGCTAAGGCTTGCTGAAGTTAATTCGAAAAGCGGGCTTAAAAGTTTTCAAGACTGCGATGTCTAGGCGTAGTAATCACTGAGCAGTAGCAAAGGTGGTTTCCCTTTCTTCAGTCAGTAGGTTGTTAATATGACACTTGCAAATCTAATAGAGAATCAGTTTAAATGGAGTCCTAATTTTCATTCCCTCGCTGAAACTGTGTGACCATATTAGTTGTGCTTTACTCGTGCTACCTACTATTGGCGCGGCCGATTTTAGCAGTTAATTTGCCAAAGAAAGTTTGATACCTAGTCAGCTCGCCGGGGGATGAAGTGCTCTGGAATGTTTCTGGATCTGGTGGTTCAAACCACGGATGTTTACATATAAACAAGAGTTTGTTTTGAGTTTTCTTTCATCTTATTGCGATTTTAAACGTTGATTGAAGATATTTGATAGTGATTTAATGGCATTTTTTATGTCAGAGTATATTATGATGGCTTGTTTTAACAGCCGAGGAGTTGGGTAATGGCGAAGCGGTGTTTGGCATTGCACTTAGTTTTGCTTTGAGTAGTTTAACAGTATTTTGCGAATGTCGTTAAAAGTGCGCAGTATTGAACCGAAACTGTGACCGATTTTTAGTCAATGAGAAGAAATAACTATGAATATTTTATTAACTTCTTTTATATTTGCCATTCTTTTTTTTTATGTTTCTCCAGCGTATAGTACCGACAGTACAAGTTTCAAGTAGTTACCAGCACCGTTACGCTGAAAATGGAAGCTGTCCGATGAATTTTTTTCTTGCTTCAAAACTTTGCCAGAAAAAAAACTTCACGCTGAATTAATATTGAATTAAATGCCAGCATCGCATTCACAAGATTCACTTAATAGCAGCTTAATTTGCAAAAAAAATTAAATAAAAGAGGAACTTCTCTCATTCTGAGGACAGTTGATAATTCTATTGTACCAGTAGCACTGAAGCATGACTAAAGTCGTAGCGAATGAGTTGCATCTGCGCAAGCAAAGTTGAATATTCGTGTTAAAATAAAATATTGCTTAACCAAATAAAACACATTGTATATATACACAATATATACGTATATATACATATTTACAAAAAGAAAAGACTACGAGTATACAAGTATTGAATATTAATTAAAACGAAATTTCCATTTGAATGCTTTAAGAATTTGCATGAAAATAAATTTAAATTAAATATCTAATAACAATGATTCACACATACATGCATACATCTATAGAATCTGTTTAAGCTAATTGCAATTTTATACAATATAAACTTTTATACCCGAGTAAATACTAAGTATGCATATGAAAATATATATGTAAATATATTTAATATAATGAATTTGTAAGTCTTCAATAGCAGGTTTTTATGTAACTCAATGTGACAAGTGTTTTGCTATTATGCTTACTAATTCCTTTACACAACTAAATTTAATAAAATTTATTATGAGTTGTTAAAAGAAATAATCACGTCATTTGATATGACAATTAAGCTACGTAGTATACCAAAGAGATTGATAATTTATTGCTTTCTAAAGTCGAACGTTATGTTTTTATACTTTCTCTGTTGTTGCTTTTGATTAGTCAACCATTTAGTCTACGTAATGTATGGATGAATGACCGATACTCTCATAATTTGACTGTTGCTGGGTATAAACCGCATATGATATACATACATACATACATTTATCTATATACATATATATATATATAAATATAAAACTGACACTTTTTAACCGCTAAAACGATTTCGGCCGAGCTCCTCTTCCAATTTGTGATTTTGTGGGCTGCTGTTTTTTCAAACAACATAACAAACGGAAGGACCTTCAGTTTATACTAAGCCGCCTCCGAACGACTGATGGTTTTTTATTTTTAATTTCATGTCATAAATACACTCGAAGGGGTTGGCATTACCTGCCGAGGGGCGACCGCAATTGAAATTTGAACTTAATTTTTTATTTAAATTAAATGATGATTTGAACCCGAGCATTCCGAATGGCAGAACGCAAGGCTACCCACTTGGCTACTGCCCACAACGCACTGAAATTGTTAAAACCTACTACAAAGATGGTGAATCAAACATTGCCTCGTTTCATGCGTTATGAGTAGATTATGGTGCACATTATCGTTTAACTAATCAAACAATTAGATGGCCTGTTCATAATCGTTTTACTCTTTCCACCTCAAATATCGCTACTATGTGGGCGAAGACCCGTTGGTATCTATTTCTCGACCTTATCAAGAGCTGGGACTTTGTTACGGTACATTATGGTACATTTCACCTTTAAACAGAATAAAAAATATAAAAATAATAAACTAAATAAATAAAACTGACCATTCGCAAGTCGATTGTGTGCTTGAACAACAATCAGTGGACGAGGATTTTTGCAAAAAAAAAAAAAAATATCTTTAACTCACTGGGGCTGCACGTAAATAAGCAAAATTGCCATATTTAGGGCTCTGAGAATCCTCAAATATTTGAAGATCATTACCCCAAAAAAAAACTTACTTTCTGTAGCGCTCTATTCTCCGGAGGCATGGTTGGATTTTACTTATTTGAAAATGACGACGTCGAAACTTTCGCTGTCGATTCGGAGCTTCATTGTCGTATGATAACCGAGATATTTTGGCCTGCAATTGAAGAGAACGACTTATACAATATGTGCTTTCAATAAGATGGTGTTACATGCCACACAATACAAGTAAAGGTGGCTTTCTTGCGGGAGAGATTTCCCGTTTCTCTTTCGCCTGTTGGCCATCGTTGCAATTTTATTTTTGTTAGGCTATGCAAAAGATCGTGTTCATGTGGATAAACCTTTTACCCTGAAATACTTGAAAATAAAACTTCGTCAAATATGGGCCAAAAAGTGTTCGAAGTTTTCGAAAAATCCACGGGGAGGTTATTTGAATTATTTAGTATTTCACATATACAATTTTTAATTTGAATGCAATTTATTTACGTTTATTTTCGAAAACCCAAAACATGGATATCTTTCTAAGTGCACATCAAATACTATGTTGCTAAAACCTCTAGAAGGATATATGTGCTCCTGATTATTACTCAGAAAACCTTCAGTCTAATGCAAATAACTGATTGGCAAAAAGGTGCTATTTCATAAAAATCCAAGTAACAAAGCCCTTATCATTATATATGTAGCTTGTCTTTTTCACGTATGTCATTTCAACTAATATTGGAATTTATGGATAAACTTTGGAAGTTAAAAATACGAATTATTAACCTCTGGTTAAACCAAAATTAATTTTTCTTCACTTTTTTCGTTTGCGTTAATGCAGGCCACTACAACTTTTCTTCTCTCTTCTCTTCAAAACTATATTAAAATATTTCGTCTTTCTCTTACTCTCTACTAGATTCATTAGCCTTGTTCCATTATTCAGTCTGAGGGAAACAGAATTTACGGCGCGATCGTTGAGACTAGCAGTTGTAGCAAATTTTGTATAAACAAATTTTTCAAACAAATTTTTCACCATGTCAATTTAGGTCAAAAGCAAACTCTGTACCAAATTTCATGTAAATTGAAAATTTGAAAAATAAACTCGATTTTTTCGAATAGATCGCACCTAGGTACAGGTGAGTTTACTCAGTCGTATAGGATACCAAATTCAGCTACTCAGAACATCGTCAGACAAGCACTCATCCGAAGCTTGCTTGTTCCTCACCGCCATATTTTCATTGTTTAGTCAGTAAGCCATCGGCTTCCGACGTTTCATTATTCATATCTTTAAGTCTGGCATTGGAACCGCTTTTCTATCATCGCCGTATACGGATGTCGCGTTTTCATTAGCCATTGCCATTCAAAAGGTTGGGAAGGTGTTCACGCCATACATTCAGCTTACGCTAGAATTTAGGAGTGTTTCCTTTATGGGCCAGCTTCCGAAACTATCGACATATCTATCGGTATCTCTCCAGCAACGCATGTTCCTTTGTATCGCATGTGGATCGCAACGTTGCGAGGAAATTAGTATTATTTTTTCCACTGCCGAACGACAGTCTTCGCCGTACCATTACTTCTTTTGACTTTGTAGATAACCAATTGACTCTGTAGCGGCTGCGCAGAAGTCGATATTAAGCCCGTGGAGTGTACGTCGGTATCTAGTTGTGCAGAAAACCACATTTCGGGTCCTGGGGAAAGTAAATTTGAGGTGGCGGCTGAATTTTCCAGCTGTTGGACCAAAAATACTTTCCTTGGTCAAGTCATTCTGCTTTCTAATATGTATGTACATGTAATTATATAATATATGCATTTTACTAAACATATTTAAATGCAATTGTTGTTGCCTATATTAACTGTTATTTTTTATTTTTCCTCTCCATTGCAGTTTAATCACACACTTAAAACGACTGTAACACGAAAAATAGCAGCAGCAACAACAACAGCAGCCAATTGCACTGATAATAGCATTAAGAAAGCACGAGCAATGTCCAATGTAAACATAACAACAATACATACATACATACACGTATGTACATATTAGCAATTGAAGAAATAAACGAGTAGCTGCCGGTAGCGCCTAAAAAAGTAGTGCCGTGACGACAACAGCAGAAGCAACAACGAGAAGTAATAAATCAGTGACAACAACAGCAAAATGTTGACTGCTGTTTATCAACAACAAAAACAGCAGCAACAACAACAACAACAAACCCAACTGCAAACCAGTACAGGCAAACATAACTTTATTAGAGCAGCTCAAGCAGCACAAGACATAGTAAACGAACGACCGACGAAAGCAACAACACCAACAACAACACACCACAAATAGACGCTAAACAACAAATGAAGTAAACTTGATATAGTAAACAAGTGTTAGCAACAGAAAACAAAAACAATAAAACAACACAGCACACACACACACACACACACAGACAGTAACAACGGCCAATCTGTAGGCAAAACATTTTCACTTGAAAGCAGTGAATTTGACAGCAACAACAACAACAACAATAAGGCCAGCAAGTACTTCAAAAGCGATAATCCGACGTAAGAAAAATTTGCAGTTGCAGTGAAAGCAACAACAAGTGAAGAATATCTGCAGCTCCTTTTAATTGTTGCACGTCTTTGCTGGTGAACGCTTTGACGTTTGACGAAGGCAGGCACTTCTAGCAACAGCAACGAATTTGCCAACAAGAACAGCAGCAATAGCAAAGGGTAGTTGCACCGGTAGTTGCTGCATACATACATGCATTCATACATACATATAGACGCGAATAACTGCCACGATTGTGCAACACGCTATTAAATTGTGCAGCGGAAAACGTATTGATTACTGTAATAAGCTGCAACAACAGCATCAACAACAACAACTAAACTAAACTAAACTAAACATTCGAACAACAGAACAGAGCAGAACAGGAAAGAATGCAAGTTGTCCGATTGGGTTGAGCAGCAGCGCTGATTGAGCGTCACTAGTAATAGTTACATACAACAACAAAAACAACAAAAACAACAACAACAACAATATACGTGAAAACGCCCGTTGTCAACTAAGCGTAATTGCAAAAGGCAAAAATTTCTCGCATTTATTTTTATGTTGCCCACTTGGAGAATGCAACAACGTCGCGCGAAATAGTTGCCAAGGGTAGCGAATAGCAAGGCATAGCATAGCTTACATACATACACATGTACAAGCGGACTTATATAAATAAGTAAATATATATATATATATATATTTATACATATATATTTATATATAACTTCAGCAGATCTCATTGCCGCATTTAGTTTTATGTTGCCGCAATTCGAGCCAAAAACAGTGTGGCTGTGAAATTGTTATTGTTTTTTCCCCTCAACACTTCAACTTAGCACTCGCAATTTTCCTTGCCTTGTGAGTGAACATTAAAATAAACGCGCGACAAAAACAACACCGCATTTTGCCTCCGCTCATTTACGCCCATTTGCGTCCGGCGACAAAGCAGCATTGGCAGACAATAAGAACACAGTACAAACGGTAGATGTGAAGCGGAACGTCCAACAACAACAGCAACAACAACGTTAAAAATTATATTACAGCAAAAAATTGCAATTTAAACACAAGAGACAGTCGCCATTTGTCATCAACAACAGCTACCGACTGGCGCACCAAAGCCTGGGAATCAAAAGCACACTTCATTTGCCATAGTAATCGGTTGTGTTGTGCTAGCAGATCATTTGTTGCCGTTAGATTGCAGGCAAAATAAGGCAAGAAGAACCATTTTTTATAAGAGAAGAGTGAGCGTACGGTCGCTGAGTGGCGACAAAACTGAAAAGAATTCACCGAGCGTGACTGTAAAGTGTGGAGGCATTAAAGCAAAACGTTAGATCGGCTTACTAACAGCAACAACAAAAAACAAAGGAAAACTAAAAAAAAAAGCAGCAACAAAACTCAAACACCAACTCACGTTTGCAACTGAAACAACAGCAGCGCAACAAAAAAAAAAAAAACACACACACATACACAAAAAGTATAACGGCAAATCAACAATTTACCTAATGAAGCTTTAGTTGCACCGTAAAACCACAACAACTAAATATTCAGTAAAAGAAAATAAGAAGCAGAAAGCACAGCTGCATAAAAATGGATAGTACCACACATTCACCAACCGCCGCGCCACCACCATTAGCAACAGCATCACAACGTGCCGGCGTGACTGCCAATGGCCTTGACACCGCCATCACACCACCAGTAGCACCCGCGCGCCATACGCGTCCATTACCCGCACAACGCGCCGGTAGTGCCTGTGTCAGCGGTAATGGCAGCAGCTCATCGACAACCACCTCCTCACCGCCGCAATACAGTGAGGACATTAGGCGCGCCAATATGCCCACCACATTGGATTTGTTGCCACGCAAGGGCAGCGTATCGTCGACAAAGACCTGCGAGGTCGATTTGGGTGATGAAGAGCGTGACACCTTTTCACCCATAAGCACCGGAGAGAGCACGAGCGACGGTGGCGTTGGTGAGGATGGCAGCAGCAGCAATCAATGCAGTCCCGGTGATGCGCATATGTTATCCGCTGCGGGCAGTAGTGATATCGGCAGTACATTAGCAACGATAGCTACATACGATAACAAAGCCTACGATAGCGTGCATGAAAGGCCAATGACAGTCGCACCAACACCAGCCGCCCGGCTGAAGTTGAGTGGCAGTGGTGGTGTGAGTGGAGTGGCTTTGTCTGGAGCTGGGACTGGTGCTGGTGTGAGTGGCGCTCTGCACTCCACATCGAAGGAGGAGAAGCAGCGTCAAAATGAGGAAATTGTCATAATGGAAACGTCATCAATTTCTTCGGAGACTGGCTCATGGGAATCTGTATTTCCACACGCTAATAGTGCTGCAGTAGGCAATGTAGTGTCAACAACCGCTGTGGTATCTGCCGCGCCCATTACTGCTGTAAACACAACTACAGCAAACATGTTAAGTGATGCCAATATTACAGCTTTTAATACAGAATTTTTACAAAGCGAAGGCAAAATATCGCAAACGCCGTTTGAGCATCCCAAGGAGCGCGACAAAAATAGCGGCACTGAGCAGCAAGTTCATTTGCTTAAAGAACCTGATATTGCGCCATATCTACGTGAGCGCACCTATTCCACGGGCGCGTCAGTGACTGCCGATACGAGCTCATTATTTACCGGCATCAGTACCCATTCGCTGTTGCGTGATCTTGAGCGGCGAGAAAACGCAATGAATTCGTCGGCACATAGCGCTTGCTTCATTGATGCCTCCTCGCTGCGTGATGAGGATGAAGTACTCTCTTTTCCCAGTCTTGACGGCCAGCTGTCGAATGATGATGCTAAGGATATTGAAGATGAACGGGTGACGACGTTAGAGTCAACCAAGCCGGCTAATGGCGAAGATGAGGACTCTCCTACCAAAAAACTTGAATCATTCCATAAAGCATTTGCCAAGTGTAAAGTGAAATCCAAAGATCTACCAGAAGATGTGCCAGTAGAAACATTTAATTTATCAAAGTCAAGTTCTAGCTCGAATTCTGGTGCTGATTCGCCACAGAAACAAATTTCGGTAGCATCTGCAACATCCACAAATAATCTCTCAGATGAAGAGAAACTCTGGAAACGCGAACACGAAGGTCAAAAAGCGCCTAAGAATGCCGAGACCAAAGATAAAATTGGCAAGACAACACAATTTGCCCCCCAACAGCAGACTTCCGCACATGAGGATGCCACTGAGGCCTCAGTGTCTCTTGCTGCCGACGCTGATTCATCTGACTCATCGGAAATTGTTAAATTGCGTCGTGAACAAGAGCACAAACAGCGCGGCCCATACATTTTCCAACACAATATGCAACACTTTAGTATTCACCCATTGGCTGTAAGTCCAAAATTTTCCGTACACAATTCGCTGGCTGCCAGCAGTACTGGCCATCCCACGGCCGTACATGCTGCACACAGCGATCTTAGCTACACAACTGACTACTCGTCATCCAGCCCGGCACCAAGTTTAGTTTGGTCTGAGCATGAACACCGTCCCAGTCTCAGCGGTCGTCCGCATGTCGATGATTATGACGGCCACGCGCATAAGACATTTGCTCACCCGGATACACCGCATAACTCGATAGCACACATTGAAAACGCCTCCAGTAATAACTCCTCCATACATCGCGACTACACAATGTCATCATCACTCTCACACCAACGCGACTCTGGCGCTTATTGCAGCGATGCTACAGATTCACCAGTACCAATGCCACGTACACCGAAACGCTCCAAGTTTGATGAAGCTAACCCGATAATTTCTGGCGGTGCATCGATTAAAGATTTTGCACCTAAGCAGTGCGAGAGCCCGCCGGTGCATAGGCGCTTGGACTCATGTCCTATTGTCTCTGGTGGATTTGCCTCACTGGATTTTGAGCCAACCCGACCGCTAGTAGACGATGATGAGGATCAAGTGGAATTACGTTCAAGACCAAAGACGCGTAAACCGATACCGGGTATAGCGTCGTGGGTGGTGGATATGAGCGACTGCCGGCCAGAGCGTCGCAAAAGCACTAGCTCCACTTCCAGTATGGAAGCGTCTGCAGGTAAATTTCGCGAACGTTCCGATTCTACCAGTTCACATAAGAGCGGTTGTGGTTTTTATGTTTCTTTGGATAATATGGATAAAAACCCCAATACTGATGATCTCAATAAAATACCAATAAAGCCGCAGATGAGTAAATCATATACGGCACCAAAACCGGCCGGCTTCTTTGTGAATCTCTCTAAGAGCGAATATATATCGGCACCGGAAGAAAAACCTAGCGAACCGAAGACGGAAGAAACAACGACAGCAGATAAGAAAAATATATTTAGCATGTTCATAGATATAGGCGAGAGTAAGAAACAAAGTGGTACGCCGCGAAAGGAGCCATTTAGCTTGGCGCAACGATTATCAAGCTCATATGCTGCGCAACGTCGCGCAGAAGAAGTCATGCGTTCAAGCGCAAGCTCAACGGAAACACTGATGGCAAAAAGTAGCAGTTTAAAGATGAGTACAGACAATGAAGGGTGTGGTGAGAGTAAGTCGCTCGATTATAAGTGCAATCTTGAACCGCCTATTACTGTAGCAGCCATACGACGGCTATCACAGCAGCAACGCTCCCAGAACGACGCAGCGAAACGACATTCCTGGGGCAATAATCCATCGAAAGAAGGTGTTATCGGTGACTACAAACGCTCCATTAGTCTTACGGCCAATGGCGATTCAAAGGAGAATGGTGGGAATGGCTTAATGAGCATCATAGATAAAATCCCATTGATATCGAAGGCCTCCTCTTTGTCGGTGGACAGCTCGCTATCTCCCTTCGATGAATATACCGGCTCCAAGTCGGAGTTGAGCACCTGCTCAAATAATTCCGCTCGCAACTCCGTTTCGGGCGGTGAACGTGATGATGAAGTTTTCCATGCTGGCGCTGGTACGAATAATAGCGGGCGCGTCAAAAGACGCCGTCGTGATGTGCAAATCAATGAAACATTCGACAAAAGTAGTTTGGCTTCCATAACGGACGGTGTGCTCTCGAAAGATATGTCTCCAGCTTCTACAACTGATACGGAAGATCTGACCTTTCAACAGGATGAGGAACTGGCTATGCGTGAGGCGGCACTACAACAACAGCAGCAACTTCAACAGGCGCCCTCGAATCGTTCCTCAGCTATTATAATGGAAACCATTATTGAGGCAAAGGAAACCTCGTCACCGAAGAAAAATGCCTCTGGGCATACAATGGAAAGCCTGCACGCAACCATAGAGAAACAGAAGATGCTGCTCGAAACGGTCAATGAACATGGCGAAGTGGAGAAGAACACATTTGTGAAATTATCCGATATGGATAAACCCGCAAAATTCGAACTACACTCGCCGGAGTCGATGAGTAAGAGTGCCGGCAATCATCGTCAAATAAATCGCCTATTCCGCGATGACTCGAAAGCGCGTCCACATTCATGGACAATGACACGTTCGCACGGCAATAGCTTCCTCAGCATAACCAATTCAGTGGAGAACCTGCGCAGTCTATCTCGGCTTTTTCCAAACTTTTCGAAAGAATTTTCAAACTCTCTACCGAACGACATCATCTGTGATCAAATGGACTACATACAGACCGATATAAGTGGTGATTCCAGTTTGGCTTCGAGCATTAGTCGTTCCGGCATGGACGAGTCTTCCATATCGTGTCGTCAACCACGTAGATTGGGTGAAGATCTATTGAAAATGTTCCTGCAAGAGATTGCCACCGACATGATTGTCGAGGTACACGGTCGGCGTATTAAGGCGCATAAATGTATTCTGCGCTCGCGCTGTCAGTATTTTGCCGCTATGTTGGCAGGTAGTGGCGCACAGAGTGTTGTCTCGCTACAAGGTTATTCCTATTCGGCAGTACATTTTGCTTTGTGTCACATCTACTCGGGTGCCTCGCATCCGCCAGATGGCATTAGTCTGATGGAGCTGGCTGCTCTGGCAGATCTGCTCGGTTTGGAGGGCTTAAAGGAGGTGACAGCACATGCCTTGAAGACAAACTACTGTCACAATTTCCACAAACCCTGTTCGGGTTGTATCGATGGCATACTGCAGGTGCTACCCGTGGCATTGACTCACTCATTAGATGATTTATATCGCAAGTGTTTGCGTTGGACTTGTCGTCACTACATGAAAGTTTGGCCAACACGACAATTTGCTCAACTACCAGCGGACATACTGGGGCGCTGTCGGCAACAAATTGTCGCATATATGGTGAGTTCATTTTAGTATTTGTGAGATAAAATCATAAATAAAATTAAGTGATTCTGAAAGACAGTAAAAGTGATGATATTCTAAATGACGAGATAATATCGTCGACTTAAACTCAATCCCTCCAGTTAACTCGTAACACCAGGTACTCACGAAGCGCTTTACTTGCCCTATCCAAGAGGTACTTTGATATTTCTAATAGCACGTCGGTCCTCTAGCGGACCCATTGTCTCATGTTGTTACGTCGAGGTCTAGTTACGCTTCATCATACATTTCACGTTGATACTTCTTTGTATTTTTTGGGATACCTGTACCAGATGTATGTTGTCCATTTGCAATACGCAGACCTCCATTTAGCTTGATCTGATAGAACAGACACTCATATTTCATGAACACCAAAACTAGGCGACTTAATCCCTCTCTCAAGATGAATCTGACACTAAATTTTTACCACTTTATATATCGGCCGCGACAGGCCAGTGGTTAATATTGCGTCCTGCCATTCGGAGGTCAGTGTTCGAGTACTAGTACCGCCACCAACCAAAGGTTGTAGAAAATTAATTTTTGTAATTGCTGTCTTCTCTCAGCAGGGAAATCCAAGCCCTCAAAGTGTATTGAGTGACTTGAAAACTGAAAAACAAAGCTCCTCATAAAAGGCCATCAGCCGCTCGGAGGCGACTTAGAAAATGAGGCTTGTACTTATTGTAGGATATTAATTAAATGTACCGAAATGATAATGTCGGCGGCATTAGCTAAGCTAAGGGATGCCAACTTTTTTGTCTAGTCTGCCTATTGCGAATTCCAGTAAAGGCGCGGTCGGGCCCTTCACAGCATTCATAGAGAACTATTTCAAATTCAATGCTGGAACAGAGTTGGAACCTCATGCATTTATATATTTGGACGATATTATGGATCAACACTGAGAGAATTTGAAAGCTGTTTTAGATAGGCTTAGATTTGAGGTAATTTTTGTCGATCCGAATTGAAATATTTGGCCTACGTGGCGGACCGTGCGGGTCCACGTGTAGACCCAGAAAAACTAGAGCGTTACTCCGGTTTGAAGTGCCGAAAAATGTAAATTCGATGAGTTCATTTATAGTCCCAGTGTCCTGCTACCGTAGATTTATTAAAGACTTTGCAGAGGCCTCTCAGCGAATTAACGAAGAAGAATCGAAAGTTCAATTGGACCGAGGAATATGAAAGAAGCTTCAAGAAAGTAAAGTAACGCTCGGTAACAACTCCGATATTAAGCTACCCTAATTTTGATACGCCCTTCACAATCCAGACAAACGCGTTTGATCTCGGTATATGTTGGTGCAGTGTTAATGCAAGTGTTTGATGACGGTGCGAGAATTATAGTATATTTCTCAGAGTAGATCGTTGAACGAAGGCGAATGTAATTATTCGACAATCGTAAAGGACTGTCTAGCGTTTCTGTGGGCGGTTGAGAAACTTCGAACATATATTGAGGGTTCTAAGTTAACGATTGTGACTGGCCATTTTCAGTTATTGAAGACGGATCCTTCAACAACTGAAAATACTTAGTAAGACAACGGCTTGGAAACTCCAGCAATATGTTTTTGATATAGTGCATTCGAAGGCAAGGAACATGTGGTTCCAGATATGTTGTCCTGTAGTGTGTCGGTCATTGCTGAAGATACTACCACCGAGCCTTGGAAAGTAGGAAAGCTCTGATTAGTAAAGAAAAGCCTTTATCATATCCAACGTTTGCAGTTGAAGTTGGCAATCTCTGTTCGTTAGGTCGAAATTTCCCTCTGTTTGCGGCGATTAACCAGTTTGGCTGCCCACACCCCAGGCACACCAAAAGCATAGTTTGTGCTATATAGTTGTTTGTCTGTTGTCCAAATATCGTTTTACTGTAAGATCTTCACTAACTTGTTGCCGCATCTTAGGTGAATAGTTCGACCCTCAAACCGAATGTGTCAGAGGGGCTTCACTAAAGCTGTACCGTTTTAGCTCAGAGTGATTCTCTTCTGCAGGTACCCATAACTAGTATTGCTAGGTAAGTAATCTTTTGTCTGAAACTACTATTTTCTGTTCGCCCCCTGTCGCCCCATTTTCAACTATGGGTATCCGTCGCCGTCCGATGGAATGGGTGAGACATACTGACTTTGATTCAACCTACCAGACCTTGAGCTGGTTTAGCAGTGCGAATTTATTTGTTTATCATTGAACGCTGGGGAATTTAATCAAATTTGCACAAATTCTTATCTTATCGCTTCGTGAGTATACCTATATGAGCCAACTGGTTTCGACGATTATGTAAAAAGTGCATGTAAACATATAAATATATGGCATGTACTCTTGCGCCCAACAGAGCGAACGATACGATACTCATTTTATATATGCAGATCTCAGTATGATCACAGAAAATATACGAACGCGATAAGCGAAGAATGAATGTCTTTGTCTGAGCTCTCACACCTCCATAAATCTGTACACACATAACTTGCGAGCTTCTTTATCTAGTCGCAATCATTATTCATCGATGATAAAAGAAGCATTTCGACTGGACAATATTTATCGCCTTTCACATTTTACATACTACAATAACTTTTTTTCCTCTTATCATTATTTATTTTCATACTCTTGCGTCGCAGACATCGGAGAGTGTGTTGGACACAGTACTCGATTGTGATAATTTGCTGACACAGTTGGCGACCTACCGCTGGGGTGGTATTTGTGAGAGTCTCGTACGTGACATACTGGACTCCGCCTATACCTACATTGCCGATCACTTTGCCAGCCTCATAGCGAGCGACTCTTTCCTATCGCTCGGTCACGATCGCAGCTGTCACATACCGCGTCTCGAGAGTGTGCTATTGCGCACAGCTTCGTCACTTACACCGGATCAGGCATGTCGCAGTTATCAACGTGTGACACGCCTCAACACTGTGTTGCAGGCGAAAGTCATACAAATGCCGGCCAATCTGGGTGAATTGGCTAAAGAGCTGCAGGGTTTGCAGGAGGAAGACTTGGATTGGGATACCGAGTACATACGTTTGGTGAGCGCCATACTCTCCGCTGTCGAGCAGTGTCTTATAAGACAGTGTTCTCGTGCTATGCGCGTAACTGCTTGGCAGCGCATGGATCTCGATTTGCGTAAAAAGGTGCAAACTTTGGCGCGACTCACCGAACCGATGGATCTGAAGCGCAACAAACCCGTCTCGAAAGCGTTCACATTCAGCGGCAGCACACGTAATCAGGATCTGTATCAGGTGAAGTTGGCAATACAGGCGCATTCAAAGCGTACCATGGCGCAGGACACACAACTGTATAAGGCAACGCAGACGCAGGAGGCGGGCAATGTGCAGACCACTGAGCGTGGTGTACAAGCCAATAACGATTTGCGCGAAGGCACCAGTAAGTAGCAACCGCAACTCAATAAATATACATTATGTTTCTATGTTTTAAATGTTCTTTATATTTGCAGGTAAGATTCTTAAATCGAACACACGCGTTCACGTGCCTCAAGCGTTGCGCGCTAGCTCACAGAGTGCCACTACCTCCGAGCGCAATAGCTTAAATACACACCGACGCACACAATCCGAAGCACCGATGCATATAAATAAAGTCACTACAACCGCACCTGCTTTGCCGCCAAAGCCCACAAGTGCCGACATCAAAACCGAGACGGTCAAGAAAACTGCGCCACGCCTCTCTGATGTGCGTCCACGCTATCTGGAGCCGCGTAAAGTACACGCGCCAGCCGGTTTCGGTAACGGACCAGTACGCAGCGCCACTAGCTCCAGCATTCCGGCCAATACGAAAGGCAAAGGCCGTCAGATCTCATCTAGCGATAGTTCGCGCACTTCCAGTCCAGCGGCACGTAAGACGGCAAATCAAATTGGACGCAAGTCTATTAATATGTCGCTTGACAGTTTGGCCTCGCCATCGCGGCGTGGCCGTACAATGCGCTTGAAGGCCACCGACAATGCTGACCGTTTTTCGGATCGTGGCGGTGATTCGCTCGGTGACAGCATGAAGAGTTCAGTGATTACAAACAAGGCGATCTCGCAAGAGTCGCTCGCGAGTGGCGCAAAGCTGTCACGTTCGAATCCGCTCATTGGCAACAGCGGCAAACAGTTGGCAACTGTCGGTGGTGGCTGTAAGTTGCTAAATGGCAAAACGTCAAATGGCATTGCGAAGACGAATCGCGCAGCAAGTATTGGCGCCAAACCGCCAAAACATTTGCAACAACAGAATATAAAGTCAACCGGTTCAAGTCCCTCCTCAGTGACGACCACTAAATCAGCGGCAAGTCGTCTCTCATCTGTCTCATCCACACACTCCTCGCGAGATATGTTTAAAAATCGGTCGATATCCGTGCCGGGTCAGTCGTCCTCCCAGGGCTCCAGTGGCGGCCAAACCACAATTGGCTCGGGCGGCGGCACAAAGCATAGTTTCTTATCGGCCAAATCGCGTGAGATACTCGCTAGGCGTGCTGAGAAAAATAAATTACAACAACAACAACAACAAATGCAACAAACCGCCAATAGCTCTGCCGATGAACGGAGCAACAACACAAACGCCGTCCCTGAACCCACCAACAACCGCAACCACCATCAACACACCGCCGGTCCAATACGTTCCGTCTCACACACAGCCGTCACTTCGGCATCAAATGCCAATTATACGCGCAACTCGCTGCCTTCCAACATACCGACACGTCGCCCCAACTCGCTGCAGCTACGGAAAACAACAAATAATCAAACAACAGTCGCCAACAATAGAAATAATAATAGCAATGTCAATCAAATGGCTCATTTAAATAACAAAAACAAAATCATTAACGCCACCAATGGTGTGTTGAAGGCGGCGAATGCGGTCAAGCAGAAAATCGAGTTGTTCATCGATACGTCCACGTCAGCAGCTGGTCGTGTTGAGAAGTCCACACCGCCAGCAACAACACAAGCCATGGCACAAAACAAAAACAACGACCAACAACAACACCAGAAACAGCCACGTGTCGAAACGAAATTGGAACGTTCGAGTACGTTTTGTAAGGAAACTTCCGACATGGACATCAACGAATTGCAGATAATCGAGTAAGCAGAACGCAGGGAGCAGAACGCAGAGAAACATGGAAGGGTAATGAGAAAACTGCGCGTGCTCAACCTTGAATGAGGTGAGGAGGGAGAGAACTATTCGTTTTTACCTACGCGTTTTCATTATTCAATTGAAATTAATTTTTTTTTTCTCCAACAAACAAAGAAACCTCACACTAACCAAAGTTAATTTGGGAATAGGATATTTAATGCAAGGGAATTAATCAAAGAAAATCATCACTTTGCTGATTCGAATTTCTTAAACAGACTTCAGACAATCAGAAGTGCGATGCTAAGCTTTTCGCACCTCATCCTTCGGTCGACGAATGATGAGACAGGTACCTGCCAAACATCAGCGTCGGTATTGATTTCTCTAGAGGGCAGGATCAAAGGGTTATCGAGAAGACAAAAGCCTCTAAATTCTATAAATTTTTCGACCCCGCTAAATAAAACTTAACATTTTGCTATAGCGGAGGCCGAGTTACTCACCAAGGTCCTCAATATGTCTCTGATCACATTACCCAACATATAGATATAAGGTAGTTTTGTCCCGCTCTCATTTCCTCATTTCCCCAGTAGCAAAAGTTGTTGAGACCTTGCTGCTCTCGTTTGTTACAACCAACAAAGCCCAACAGCAAATCAACACGGCTTTTGCAAACCCAAACCTCCATAAACGCCAGAAACACCGAGTTAACCTTTGGCTTTAACCACAATCGACCCTGCGGGAACGCTTCTGGTAGCGCTGTATCTGTCAAAAGCCTTGAAACAGTCAGTCATGCAGTGTTACTAGCGAACATCGAGGTTTACTCATTACCGTGGGGGTTGAGGAGGTTAACCACGAATTACCTTAGTTGTCGACAGTCTTCTTTGGAACTTCGAAGTCAAAATTCGGCTCCACAAAGAGGTGAAGGGGTCGTTATTCTTTAATTGTTAAATTTCGAAGCTGCCTCCGCCTCGAGCGGGTAATTCCCTAATCTCAGATGCCTAGATACTCTTTGAAAAACCGGCTAGAACTGAATGAGAAACGATGTGAAAACTTCGACAATAAATATCCAAAAGTTGCTAGTAATTTTATTGGACAAACGAAGACCGCCCTTAGGACCCTAACGACAAAGCTTCTCATATAACCCATTCACCATTTAGGTTGCATAAGCAATATCTGCTGGGAAGGAACTTGCAGGCATCCACTGAAAGCCTAACTATCAAATGGCTACTCAGCATTTCATAATAGAACCGCTGGACAGAACGAATAGTAAACTAAGTTTACCTGTTGACCATAACGGGGCTAGGCCAGGATATTGTTGACTAATGTTCGAAAGTGAACTGTTATCTCAACGACTTTTCCCCACTCCTGTACTGCAAGATAATTACAACTATAAACAGCAAAATTCTCGGCAACTCTCTTCACCAGCTGGACGAAGGAATACCGACTCGGATTTGTTTTTATAGTCGATGGCGTAAAAATTCCGACTATAAAAAAGGCGAAGTTATTGGAAGTCTCATTCCACAATCTATACTTCTTCACTCTGCATACGACTGCGATTGCCGCTAAACTTCAGAGCCGCAACAAAATCCTCAAAGCATTAGCCGACAGCACCTGCCAAAACATCATCCTCAGAAGCGTGACAGCAAATCTTTTGTTGTCGCTATAGTATCACTTGCATAGTGAAGTATCTTTACAACGAGCTTAAAATCCTACCACCAACTAGGCAAATCATAAAGAGACTACACGAAGTCAAACTATCACATGCTGCAGACGAAGAATTCAAGCTGCCTAGAGATTCCCGCGTAATACTGGCGCAACTAATATATGGATATTGTAGTAGACTAAACTCCTACCTATCCAGACTCGACTACGACGTATCCAACGTATGTACTGCTTGCAATGAGTTCCCACTCGACTCTAGCCCCGACTTTACATGCCCCCTACAACGAACTTATCTAATAACCCTTTTGCTTATGGTCCAAACCCGTCGAAACAGCTCGTTTCCTGGACGGACCTTGATGACTTAGACTGATATTGACTGCTCGTAAATGGGATTAGCGAACCTCCACAACGAGCTCAAGCTGCCTTGCGAAACCCGAGAAATAATGCCACAATTAAGGTCTGGATAATATAGTAGACTCAGCTTCTATCTACTAAAAGCGACTCATCTTCATGTGGACAGAAACACCTTTGAAACAGCCCATTTATTGTACCTCCTGGTAGATGATTAGGCAAGCCTGTAATAAGAGCAGACTAAAATCCAATAGTTTCCGCGATAGTCCGCGCTTTATACCGAATCCAACCAGTATTTTAACCGGGCAAGGACTATATCTGAAGAAAAAAGCGGAAATCTACAGTCTCTTTTATGTTAATGGATTTTGATGAGAAGCTTCTTATTTCATATGCCAGAAATACAAGCGGAGTGGTTGTCACGCCCTGCAAAGGGAAGACCACAATTAAAGGAATTTTTTTGAATTCATTTTATTTGAATTAATTTTCAATAATTTTGGGTAGCCAACTAATAGTAGGCCATCGCCTATTGAAGCTCTCATTAAAAATATTACTTTTTGTTTATTTCACTATTTTAAAATACGAAAATCGCCCAAATATGCAATAAAGCCTTTCTGTTATGAGGTGAAAAGTTTTGATTAAAAGAAATCAATCTTTAAGTGTGAATAACTACAAAAGTTTAACTTTTTCCTCCAGCAAACAAAAGCGTTGAGCCTGCAAGCTGTTCATCCATGGAGGATAAAAACAACACATCCACACATCCTTAACGCAGACACCACAATGAACGCTGCGATGAACAAAACAACTTCTCTAGTCAATAACAGAAGACATACAAAATTAAATTAAAATGGCGCTGCACAGAAACAAAAACAAAAATTTGCTTATAATTGCATAAAAAAGTAGTTGTCAATAATCTCAAATTTGCAGAAACCTCGAAAGGACAGCAAGTTTAATCAAACAAAAATAAAATAAAAAAAATACAAAAATTATATGTATGTAGTTGAATGCCCTAAATGAAGATATCGTAAACAGAAAAAATAATATTTGTGCATATTCAACCATACATAGTACATACAAACATATTTGCATATACAAATAGTAGTTTATGGAATATAAAAAAAAAGAAATTGTTTTTCTTAAAAATATGAATTTCAGCAGCAATGAAATAAAAACCCCAAAACCCCGTTAAGTAACAGTAAAGGCGCACGTTAAGGAATAACCAAAACGGTTGGCAGGAAACGATTATAAACGGTAAAATTAAATATAAAATTAAATTAAAAAAAAATAAATGGATACAATAAAATTGGCATTTGTCAAAAAGCTGAATTGAAATCGTATTTCGAACGATCGAAAAGCATATTTTTAAAAAAAAAAGTATAATTGAAAGGTGTACTAATTTCGTGATATTATTTACAATGCAAAGGCTGCATTTCTTTTTTGTAGAAAGCGCAGTGCAAATGTGTGAACATTTAGCATATACTTATACATACATACAGACATAAATAGGTACATATGTACATACAAAAACAAAAAGCATGCTTTAAGCTTATAATTTAAGTGAGTTCAAACACATAATAATGGATGGAGTGTGACGTCTGATGGTTTAAGTTTTTGTGGTATCACAATGAGTCTAAGTCAGGCCTAAGTGAATCCGGTCTGTTAGATCGGTAGCCACCGCAATCTAATCTAACCTAAAACACATAAAAATAGTTTGTTTCTTTTTGTGTTTTCTATTTGCTTCGCGCATTTATTTCACTATAGATTACAAGTCTTTGATATACCAAAAAATAAATAAATAACTATGGCTTACATATGTAAATGGATATTACATATTAGATGTGCAATTTTAATGCTCTTTTTAATTTTTTTTAATTTTTTCAAAAATTAATATACGCCTTTTAAGCTCATCGCCGCTAAGAAACTTTAAGAAATACTTAAAGCGGTTAAATATATTTTTGTGAAATTTGTAGAATGTGAATATTGCAAGCATGCCACAATTACAATGAAAATATGATACTTTTTGTATGAAATTTTACAATGTGTGTTACTTCAATTCAAAACTGTTTTTGAAATACTTAGTCTGCAATTACTGAATTTTATTTACTCCATCGAATGCCGCTTTAAAAATTATGCGCTGATCTTACTTTGCTTTTAACGTATTTAGCTTACTGAAGAATGCATTAGGTTACACAATCTTAACTTGAATAAATAAATTTAAAATTTTACAACTCATAAGCTCAAAAAAAATTAAAAAAAAAAAATAAATAAAAATGAAATTCTACACGAATACTGCGTGAATGACTTAATATTACAAAAATAAAATGAAATTTTAGTTTTAAGTAAATGTATTTTACATACATATACGTATATTTTAGCAACTAATTTTATATTTTTCAATTTTGATTTTATAATTATTATTTTTTGCTTAAATATTTACCTGTTAATTCAGCGAAGAATGAAATTAATATTTTGGCTGGTTGCAAAATAACAAATACAAATACTTATAAATATAAAAAAAAGAATTTCACAAATTTGTATGTGTGTATGTTACTTGTATTAAATGCTATGAAATATATGCTATATATTAATATTATAATAAATTTAATAAACAAAATTAAAATGTTTTGCTTTTTCCAAAAACAAAAAAAAAACAAGGAATACAAATATTGCGAGTAAAACCAAGAAATGTATTAATAAAATATAATAACAAATTCTATATGAAAGCTCATGGTTTATTCAATTTTTGTGGAACATCGTTGAGTGCTACAATTTACTTGTATATATGTAAGTATCTGTGAGTATTCAACAATATAACTAACCAAATAAATATAGCAAATTATAATTTTTTTGTTCATTTGAACAAATATTGGTAAAATATTATATATTTTCTATATAAAAATTTAATTTTTTTAAGTTTAAATTGCGATCCCCACAATTTTTCATTTTTAATTTATTAAAAAATATATTAATGCTAACTGCCTTCATTGCGTTATTAGTTACGTATTAATTATTTCAAAGATCAACATCTCTTGGCAGTTTTATAATTTTACTATATTAATACAAATAATAATCTTAAGCCATCCATAGCAGCAGGTTAGAGGCTCAAGAATTTATCCGTGGTAAGGCATGCCTGTCGTAAGAGGCGACTAAAATCCAATAGTTGCCACGTCAGTCAGGACTTTATACCGCAACGACCGGCATTTTTATCCGGCCAAGTACTGTCACTACCCCAATATTTCTTGAAATTGTTACAACAAAAACAACAAATACTGCTTTATGTTATTACTCATCCAAATATAAACTGACCACAAAATTTTATTTTGCTAAACTAAAAAAAAAAATAGCCTTTGGATTTTTAGTTGATTTTAATTTTTTTTTTTTAAATACTCACTTATTATGTTAATAATAATAAATAAATATTTTAAATACTAAAATTAACGATTTACAGTAATTTCTGTAAAATATTTTATTCCAGTTTGACTTCTTCTAATTTAGCGTAAACCCACCGTTTTGTGGAGTGCATCACTTTCTAGCTGCCCCAGCACCCCAACATGCCCGCTGTTATTGCTTACGCGACTCCAAATTCGACTGCACCCAGGCATTGAAAACATTACGGCAGTGTATAACAACACATTCATTACTACAGTATTCATCCTCCCAATCGGGATTTATAATAGCACGTTTATTGCAATTCTCTCGAGTACACATTTGCACTGCACCAGCTTCACTTAACATTTGTATTTGCGGCTGTGTAGGATCATTCGAGGAAATGGGAGTATCAGTTGTTGATTGTTGCTGCTGCGGCGGAGTTTGTACTTGTTGTTGCGACGCATTCATCATGGCATTCTCATTATTGCCGAGCACGGTGTTTTGATTAGTGTTGACAACATTAGGGCTGCCGTCTGCATTGTAACGTGAAATTGTAAAAACTGCTGGTCTGGTTTGTAATGTGGGTGTCATAGCAGCGTTGGCTGCTAATTGTTGTTGTTGTAATTCTTCCTGTTGCTGGCGATAAATGCGCATTTGTTTCATATACTCCATTTGCGCTGTTTCATGTTTCTTGCTATAAACATTTTTGTGACTCACATCAAGTGCCTCCCACATAGATAATACGATGCGGGAAAGTTCTTGAAAACTACAGTTTGGATTTTGTTGCTTAATTGCGCTTACTGTGTCGCGGAAGAAGAGTCCATATGCTGATAACGGTTTGGCGGGCTCATTGGCATCTGTAGCCATTGGCGTTAATTGCTTGCGTGCGGCTAACGTTGCTGTTGGCGTTGCATTTTGAGCATTTTTCGTAGGAGATACTGAATATCCAGTATTTGTGAATGATTCGTCATTAGCACTGTGGTATTCGTCCGTTGATACATCCATACTGCGTATTCTCTTGGACTGTAGGTGTATGAAATACAAAAACAAACAAAAATTACAAATCACATAATTAGTTAAAGCACATAAAAACTTAAGACTAATCGAACTTTTTTTGATCATATTTATGCTGCGACATATATATAAATATATATATATATATATATATATATATATACACTCACTAAAAGCTTCTTCATTTGTTTCTTTTGCTAACTAATCTCAACGTATTTTGCTTTACAGCTAATCAAAGTATAATTAAACTATATGTGGCGGCTGAAACTCGTTGATAGCGTCAACTAAATAAAAAAAATGTCGATGTGCGATAACGCACGCTCTCTTAACATTAAGTTTTATAAAATAGTAGCGTATACTACTATGTAAATTACGTCTGATGGATATAATCGTTATGTGGTTTTGTATCCCGATGCGGCATTATTTTAATGTAAGTAGTAGTAAAAATAAACATTTATTTCAAAATCCACGTCAACGTTTGTGTTTTATTGTTAGCAACCATTTGCCGGCTGATTGAGGTAGTGACCATAGGCGCCTCTCTCCAAAAGTGCTTTGTTTTTGGAGAATAATATTCGCTTCATTGATTTTCAACATCTATTGATTGCACAGTCAGCGCTGACTAACGTTAGCACATACATATAGTTTTAAAGAATAGTGCATACATATACCTAGCTTTAGTTTTCATCATTACAATCTCATTGAATAAACGCGTTTAACCATTTCACTAAAACTTTTTTACTTATATCGACTGTAATCACTGACCGGACTCACAAGCGGCTTCTAAATTTCTATATTTAAGATTGATTGATTGTTCATTGAATGTTGCACGCCCGAATAACTTAATTTCACATAAATTTTTTAACAAATAGTTTTCTTAACAGTATGTCTAGTCTGTAGTGAAATCTTAAGTATCCTTTTATGCTTTTCATTGAATACATAGCCAATTTCATATACTTGCCTCACTAAACTCTTGGTCAAACACTCCCTCCTGCTGGTGTTGCTGGCTTATTGAGAAATTACCTTGACCACCAGCTGCAATATTGCCGCAATCCGTTTCGTTCTCTGGCAAATCGATTACTATTTCGTCTCCCAATGATGGTGTATGGAACTGCGCATTCATTCTCTCGCGTCTTGCGTCGATTATCGTTGCTATGTTAAGTGTTTATTTATTAACAAAGCAAAAAAACATAAAAAATGCGTTAAATCTGGACAAATAGTTTTTATTTGGATTGCGTCAAGCAAATGAAGTGAAATGTCAAACTGAGAATTTTGACAGCTAGTGGCACTGCCAGCTTAAAAATTATTCGTAGTTGCCACCCCTTGAAACTTATTTAATTTAATAATTTTTTTTTAATTAATCACTGTGATTGCTAATATGCTTTGGTGTTAACAAAGGACGTATATTCTTCGCGACGATGGCGAAATTTCCAAAAATCAGAAATTCAAGTGATTCAAGTTGATCCGAAGTCAAAAACAAACACATAAAAAAGGTGACTGTATGTATATGAAAGACCCATACATACATGAAACCAGAAATATACAACTTTTTCATCCCCAAAGCCATATGTTCATTCATAAATACCGTTGCTCACATGTCTCCGCATACCCTTCAAACACTTGCTTCATCGGGACGATCACAAAATCAAACATGTAAGGAAGACTAAATTAGAGTGGAAGCGAGACATTCGGCTGATATTTAGATATCTACAATAAAACATCTCAGTTCTTAATAGAGCTATCGTGTATGGAATCGATTATCACCATTTACAGGCCTATTCTGTCGAGGTAACAAAACTTATCTAAGTATTGTATTAAAATTTACCATTCAGTAAATTTTGTTACCATTTCGTATTCTGAGCTCACTGTTACCCTGTAAATTTTGTTACCAGCGAAATAGGAAGTAACAAAAATATCTGCTGTTTTATTTTGTGTTGTAAATTTGAGAAAAATTTTGTAAGATATCGTTTTCATTCAGCTTTTTGTTGTCCAGGCATATTTTCCATAATTAGGTCCTAATATTTATGATTTAATAAACAAATTAATAAAACTTTTTAATTTATTTGTGCACCATCTTTCATTTCGATGTGAATATTTTTATTTTTTACTTTATCCACTGGCAAATGAAATTTGACATGGACAAAAAAACAGTGCTGCCAAGTTTATTTTTCAAACATTTTAACCAGTTCGCCAGAATACCAAATTCAATTTCGGGTGTTAAAGAAAAGTAACAAAATTTACTTTACCGGTAACATTGAGAATAGGCCTGTTAAAGAAGCTTTTTACATAAAGTTTATTCGATTATGTTAAAATCGTTAGCAGAACAAACCGAATGCACTTTATTCACATAGTACAGTCGGGCATAAAAAATCCCGTAACAAAAATTAGCAAATCGTACATCTTCCCGAAATGTGAAGCAACAACAATATACATTGGTATATAGCATACACTAGCATTGCTTCGCATTCTTGCGACTTTCACAAAAATTCAATCACCGTCTGCAGAATTGAAGCAAGTCGGTATCGTGCTGTTAAATTTGCTGTTTGCCTATTAGCTCATAGGTAGGCAGGCAAGTAAATTCAAGTTGTCATATAAGTTGGGCAAAGTGCGAAAATTCTAGATTTTAAGGATGAAGTGCGAATTTCAAGCTATGGCCAAAGAGGGAAGTAGACGCGTGCTCGGGGACACAAAGAAAAAAAGACGGATCCCTTCAGGATTTTCATTCTGTCTAGTGTTATATGTATGCTTGCTTTAATATTTTTATGCATGTGCATATACATATATGCACCATCGTTTCGCGCGCATTTTCAAACGATTTTTTGCAATTCATTCAGCTCATTTTTGTTTTCGTACGAAATTTCGTTTCGCCGTCATAATTGCTCCGCTGTGCTACGAAAATCGCGAGAAATTCGAAGGAAGGTGTAATCTGGCTATGGCACCTCATTATTCATCTCAACAAAAATTTTCAAATTAGTTCACAGTTCTTTTCCCTACTTATTATTATGTACATTCTTTGCCGATCCTGACGGAGCTTTTGGTGTTGCTTACCGTTAGTTTACTCAGCCGTATAAGTTTTGCGGCGATACCAATATAGTGGCAATTCCTTTTCGTGCGGTGGAAAGGTGATCGATTCTCTTTTTTCGGACCTCGCTAGCTTAGCATAAGTGTTTAAAAACGCATAATAAGCAACAAATTTTTATTTATTCATACTCATACAAATTTAAAATTTATTTATTTATTTATTTAATTAAGAGTAACTTATGTATGCATGTACATATATACATCGATATTATTTTTGATCAAGTCAAGCTCTATAAACCTATAGTCCCATTCGTCAAATCGAAAAGACGATATTAAATAGTATTTTTATGCATTTCGCAATAATTTGACCTTAAATATAAACGAAAATTAAACAAAATTTAATCCAACAATATTTTTAACTTATAAATTAAGCATTTTTATCACATTTTAAATAAATAAGAAATTATTTTTGTATCTTTGAGAGACATGTTTTTATCGATAAATTTAGTTCCTACTTGGTAATATTTGTATATCGAAATAATATTTTATATATTTGCATAATTATATTAACACTTAGCAATTATTACTATTAAAATTATAAAAGGCACAAGCTCATGTACATAAATACTACACTTTACAAATTTTTTTTTTTATCCAAGTAATCGATACGTCGACTAACGCTTTGGGTTCAAATTATGAATCAACAAATCTCTACATGACGATTTCTACTTGCGCTTTTGCGACTCGAGATATGTGGCGGTGAACGTGAGCAGTCGTTGGCGTTGCTTGAGATTACGGGCGCGCACATGCGCTGAATTGACCTCTTCCGTGTAACTGCCGGGGAACCAACCCACAACGCCGTCCCGTATGCGCTCACCCTGGTACCAGCCTGAAATAAAATGAAATGAAAAGTTGAAAAAAATAACCGAATATTTCCACTCTATAATTTCTGAAATTCTTACCGTCTGGTAATTTCCTTGTCACATTGACCACATCGCCCACTTCCAAGTTCAACGCATCTGGTTCTGTAGCTTCGTATACATGTTTCGTTATCACCTGCGGACAGTCCCAAGGAGCGTAGAGCTTTTCGCCTGGCGTTTCTGGTTCGGGCGGTCGCACTGCTTGCAACCAACGTTCCTGTTCGGAAACTGATGGGCAAGAAAGGACCTAATAATGAAATTAATCAATTAGTTATATATGTTGAGGTTGGAAAGCGAGCTTTCGTCAATTCCTTCACTTACTAGTTCCACAGTTTTTCGCTCATGATTCTCCAGCAAAGTCATTAGTATAAGATTTTTGTGCGTCTGACTAATGTCTCTCAAATCGCCCGACGTGATTGTTAACATGCTGCGCGGACAATAATCGAAGACGGCAAATTGTTCTTCACCTTTGCGTTTCGTCAGCACGAGCAGATCGGAGAAGAGAAAGGCGTAGATGGACACTTTGGAGAATTTTTTGCCAAACGTGAGCTTAACATCGTCACCGCGCCAAATGAAATGTGTCAACTCGCCGCGCTTCACCAGGAAACGCGGTTTTGCACCGGCAGCAGGTACACCCACGGGCGCTATGGCCAACGCGCGTATCGTTGTAGGAAACTCGAGTTGACGTGCTATACGTTCGATTTCGTACGCTTGCTCACAACGATTCGCTGCTTCATTGCACTGCGTTACAATCTTATTCATTATGGCCAACGTCATTTTCCAGTTCTCGTATTCGTCATCGTTGGGACTAACTTTACTGAAAACGGCGTCGATTAGTAGTGGCAGGCGTGTTATCCGTTGCATGGGTAACATGAGAAAAGAATGTAGATTGAGGCCACAACAGGTAGGACTCGTCTCGAGTAGATGCAAGTTTTGCTCAAATATACCACGTGACTCCTTCAAACGGCGTAAAGTTCGGTCCATGCGTCCTTGGTGCTCGCAAAACGAGATGTAGACGTGGAAGCACTTCTCGGCCACGGTGTAGATACGCTTACTCAAACCGATTAACATTATGTTATCCTGCCAGCACGACTCCATTTCAGTGAGCAATTTTTCCGAGCATTCGTGCACCGGTACAATGTAGGCGAACAGTGCTTTGCGATCGCGCGCACTCACCACATTGGTATCACGAAATACCGGATGATTCATGAAATGACTACGCAGCAGGTTGAGCGATTTGAGATAACTGGCCTCCGAAGTGATGATTTCGAATTTCGCCTCTTGCAGACCGCGTTCGCGTGGTGTAAGTGTGGCTAGAGCGTGAAAAGTGTATAAAGCTATGAGCGAGTGATACTAAACACAAAAACACTTGAACTCACATAAAACACAGGAGTTTATAACTTCCGGTATTTCGCTCCACAGCGTACGCGCTGGTCCGTTCTTTGGTTCAATTAACTGATAGGCGCTGGGTCGCTGATGCTTTTGACTATTTATGCGCGCTTCACCAGTAGTGCCATTCTGACCGATCTCCTCGTAACCATCCGTCGAACTATCATGACCCTCCATATCTCGTGTAATGGACTGCAATAGACAATGATTTATAAAACAGTATAACAGTAAATTTCATTTAACATTTACCTCTAACTTGGCAGCGCTGTAGATCTGATAGAGCGGCTCATTTTGGAACATACTATGTGGCAGATCATCGCTTAGCGTGCCTTCATTGCCAGTTGATACGCCGGAACTACCACTTGAGCTGGCCACAGATACATCACTGGTCTGGTAGAGACCCGCCTCGGTGTACCACGAGTTACCGTTGAAAACGGAAGAACCACTTTGGCTTGCTTTGCTATCGTTGAGTGAAATTTCCGATTCTTGTAACATACCACTCGTGCCGTTCTTGAAGACACCACATTCTGCATACCAAGATGTCGTTGAAGTGGCAACCGGTGGCGGCGGTGGTGGATCTTGTGGACGTATACCAATTGTTGTGCGCCTTCGTTGCGAATTCGTTGCTTTCGCTTCTTTTTTCGCTTTACGAGCAACAGTTGAGAATTTCTGCGCCTCGGGAGTTGGTATAGCGGGCGCTGTGGGTAGATCACCTGAAGAAGCTTTCTCAGAGAAACCAGAATCCAGTTCTCCGGAGCCCCCATAAGTTGGATCTTCAATGTAAAATGTGCTACGAGTGGGCGATAGTGTTGACAGTTGTTTCATATCAAATGTGGAACCGACTAGACTTTTACGCAGACGTGATTTGAAGCTTTTACTCGCTTTCGATTTGGCACGTAGTGTTGTGCTGGCTTCGGTTGTATCGAGTTTTACCTCCGTTGGACTATTTGGATTTTTATCCGCTGAATTGAGTTGCTTATCATCTGCTGGAATTGCGGGTGGACTGTGAAAATCTGTGTTCTCGTAAATGTCTTGATCGTGCGTCGCTATAGATGACTTTTTCACATTTTTCTGCGGTTTGGCTTTAGTCTTTGGTGTATTCTCATATATATTACCACTCACATAGAATTGCGTCGAGTTTTCATAGAGTTTTTGTTGACTGCCAGCGTACTTAGATCCTGGCGATTTCTTATTTGAGATGAAATTTTTCAGCTTCCGCACAATGGCATACACCTGATTCGTCGAGGCAGGCGGGTCGGGAAGTTTCACATTACGTATGTCCACGCCGCTGTCGTTCTGCTGAAAAGAAATTGAATGAAAATTTGAAAAATTAAACTTTGAACTTAAAATTTTACCTTCTACAAGGCAAAACAACGTAACAACGTTGATGGACATGAGTTTGAATTTTAGTGATTGGAGGGATTGTTATCATGCGGTTGATATGTGCGTAATTTTCAATTCCTCAATTGAAAAATTAAGTTTTCGTTTGGGCAGAGTCCGAAGCGTGCGTCTATAGCACCAACTACCTGATTTAAAGCCACAATTAATGCTCAGAGAATCGGGAAATATGAAGATTGGCCACTACAAGAAAATTATGAAATTGGCAAGAAATACGTTACCTCACCTTCAGAATAGTTTGTGGATCAATTGGTGCCACGAGTTTATCAAACTGGTTTGTAATCAGATAAAACAACTCGCATACGTGGTTGTCAAATGCGTCCAAAGGAAAATATTGTCTCTCTAGCAGCTTTCGCAGGTATTTCATGCTCGTTGTAAAGACCTCGATATAAAGGCTTTAAAAGTCCAACTTTCACAAGAATTAAAGCCTCTCGGCCAATGGGCTGAAGATTGTTTGGCAGATGAAAATTTTTATAGAAATATCAACGAGGCTCATTTTCACTTCGGCGGCTACGTCAATAAGCAAAACAGTCTCATTTGGGTATAAGAGAAGCCATAAGATGCCATGGAAAACCATCTTTAACGAGTGACTGTTTGATACGGCATGCGGACCGATGGCATCATTCGTATATTTTTCTCAAAAAATGTGCAAGGAGCTGTCGTTGCCTTCAAACCCAATCGCTAGCATGCATTGCTCCGATATTATTTGTTTCCATATGTTGAAGAGTATGACGTGGACGGTGTGTGGCGCCACACAGCCAATTTTACAATCCATATTTCGTATTACTAGCTGAAACGGCAACCGTGATAGACGAGGCGGGTCGAATACTGGTTCGACCAACATCCAAAATTATAGAAAATTAATATTTCTAATTGCGGTTGCCCCTGGGCAGAGAATGTCAAGCCTTACGAGTGTATTTCAGACATGAAATAAAAATTCCTCATAAAAACCACAAGCCGTTCGGAGGCGGCTTAGAATAAAAAGGAACATCCGTCCATTTTTTGGAAAAAAAATTGAGACGCACACGAAAAGTTAGAGGAGGAGCTTGGCCGAAAATTGCTTCAGCGGTTACAAAGTCGATTTTATATATAGCCGAAATGGAGATGTCAATTGGCGCGGCTGCGATTTGAATCTATGGAACTTGCGGAGCGCTGTGCATGATAAGTTCTACGTCAATCATCTAAAGGCGTTTCATGACTTGAAACCCGAAATCAAAGTCTCTATTGCAGCCATAGAGGGACACACAATCGAGAATATATTGGAAAATTGCGCCGACAGACAGAACAGAATGGGCTACTGGAAGGCCAGCTTAGTATATGAGTTTGTTTTAAGGGTTTTCTAGAAGGATATTTGGATAGATTTTTGCCCTTTTCTATTAGACATTGTACAAATATTGCTGAATGGATTGTCAGGGGTGTGATTCTTGGTACCAGGCCAAGATCAAAAATTATAGAATAGGTTTGCAATAATTTGCCAATGGTCTATAATTTTTTACGAACGAAGTTTTAGCCTTTCTGAGTGTACTTATCTAAAAATATTTATATATCGATTTCTTACATTTTTCATATGCTCCTCGGTCTCGTAAATCTCATCGGTATCTGTATCGAAGGAATCATAATCGTCAGATGTCGCCAATGTGCCCAGACCATGCATCGAGGTCGAATACATCTTAGTGCGTTGCGAACCATTTTTCGCAAAGTGTGGCAATTCCCGACCGACACTGTTATGGCTAGTTGAACGCTGATCGGGCAATGTGGAATGTCGTTTATTACCCAATGGCGATAATGTCTCATAGTAATGATCGGAGTCATCTGAAATGATAAACGAGTAAATTAAATTTTAAAATTTATTTAAAATTCGTGTAAATTAATTATATTTATATACATATGTACATATATGTTAAAATAAAATATATATAAATAAATAAATTTTCTTTTGTGGAACAAACCTATAAAGGTGCTCACAGTCGTCGATTGACGTTCGCCCGTTGCATTGTCTTTCTCAACAATGGTGGCGCGTACAAACGATAGACGCCCACGAAATCGATTTACACGTCTGCTCGCTTCCTCTTCGACATGTGTCGTCGTTGTATTTTGATATATGGGTTCACTTATGTCATTATGCTCGTTAACGGCACTATTCAGATACACCTGACTGGCCGGACAGGTGATGTAAACCTCACCGACTGCACGCGGACGACGTTTACGCGGCAGCGTACGTAACGTACTGCAATTGCTTTCACTTTGCGTGTTCACATTCGACGGCACTGATGCATTCATTTTATCACTGAGTTCATTTCTATGGAACTTTTTTAAATTTTTCGATTTTTTATTTTTCGATTTTTTGTTTGCAAAACTTTGTCTTTGTATTTTAATATATATTTATTGTTGTAGCGATTTGAAATTCTAAAATTAATTTTGCTTTTAATCAATGTACACCAATTGACACATACATATACATAACATATTGTATATACATATATTATATATTATGTATGAGTGTATTTAGGCCAATTCAGGTCAATTGCACGTCACTTTCGTATTCTCTTCGCGTCTATAATCAAACCTTTTTATGGCAAAAATGCAATATATATGTATATAAATATTAGGTCAAGTAAAAAGTTCGCTCGGTTTTTATCTAAGAGATGAAAACGTGTTTATTCGCGCTAAAAGTTGACTCAGTAGTGACTGGTGATGAAAAATGGGTCACTTACGACGCAAACGGTCGTGGTAAAAGCTCGAGGAAGCGGCCCAGACGGTGGGCCAGACCGGATTGACGGCCAGGAAGGTTTTGCAGTGTATTTGGTGGGATTGGCAAGAAATCATCAACTACGAGCTGCTCCCCTATGGCCAAACGCTCAATTCGGCCTTCTACTGTCAACAAATGGACCACTTGAAGGCAGCACTCATCCAGAAGAGGCCATCTTTGATCAACAGAGGCCGCATTGTGTTCCATCAGGACAACGCCAGGCCAAACACGCCTTTGGTGACGCGCCAGAAGCTCCAAGAGCTCGGATGGGAGTTCCTAATGCACCCACCTTATAGTCCGGACCTGGCAACAAGTAATTACGATCTTTTCCTGCCCATGGCGAGCGCGGTTAATGGTGAGAAGTTGGCCTCAAGAGAGGCCTGTGAAAATTGGCTTTCCGAGTTTTTTGCCAATAGAGACGCAGCCTTCTGCGCGAGGGGTATAATAAAGTTGGCATCTCGTTGCCAACAAGTTTACGAACAAAACGGCGCATATTTAACTTAAATCGGACAAATGTACACAAAGTTAAAATATTTTGAAAAATCAATAAAAAAAACCGAACGAACTTTTTACTGGACCAATATGTTTATACAATGATTTATTTTATGCTTTTGGCTTTCGCTCCGACAATTCTATTGTGAGTGGATGCTCAACAGATGCCGTCTGACACGTAGGGTTCAATTGCTTAAACAGACAATATTTCTCAATTAAAATCAATTACCAACTGAGAATGACATACATATATATGTATGTATGTATATTTATTTTTATGCCACAAAATCTTATGACGGTCGTTTTTATTACGCCTAATAGCTTAAAAGAAATAACGGGATTATCTATATTCGTATAAGGTCTGCAACTAAGACGCCAAAAAATCACTAAAAAAATTTTTGCCAGAGCGTCAACAGTTCATAACTAAAGAACGGCAGTTTACTTCTGTTTTTAATGTCTTCCTCCTGCTTTCTCTCTAGCGTACGACTTGGTTTCTTGTACCATCAGGCCATTCCGTACATCTCAAGTTAGTTTTAGTTTTGGAATTGGTACCAATTTTGGTTCCAACAAGACTACGATACATATCGTTCAAGCAACGAAACAGTAAATTTATCTAAGGAAACTTTTGGAGGGCGCATTATATCGCGTCGTGGCCCTGTGCCGAGGCCTCCTAGATCGTGTGATTTAACACTACTGAACTATTTTTTGTTGGGTTATATGATATCGCTTGTCTGTACTATAGCGATTTTGGGTACCACAAAGAAAATTATTAATTGAACTTAGACTTGCTAAGGGATATATGACAGGCATATTACGACAAGAAGTTAAAGTCCAGTCAGTTTACCAATATTAATGATGTTATAGGTGACCGAGATAGCCGAGTGATTAGCATTGCGCACTGCCATTTGGAGGGCCAGAGCTTGGGAGACCTGATACGACCAACATTCAAAATTATAGAAATTTCATTTTTCTAACTGCGACCGCCACTGTGTCCTTCGGGTGTATTTCGAACATGAGAATGAAAGCGTCTCATAAGAATCTAGCGTTACTTCCAGGCGGCTTAGAGTAAACTGCACGTCTCTCTATAAGTTGAAAAAAGGATCAAAATGATCTTTGGAAAAAGCCTATTTTTTCTAAGCATTTCGTGATTTCATCTAATAAAGGATTTGAGCCGATTTCTCGGTCAAAGAAGCGACATCAGAGCAACACATATCTGGCCTCTATATAAATGAATGATGAAAATAAACTGTGCACAGTGTAACAAATCACTGATGGATGCACGCAAAAGGATAACAGATTTATTTTTGATGAGACAAAAATATCTTTTTTTGGAATTTATAGCGATGTATTTATATGTAAACGAGCTTGGCTACAGATAAAAAATATAAGAGCAAAATGTGTGAAAATTATGCGTATACAATTTATAATGATTTGAAATGTGAAAATTTAATTTTTAGCAATAATTGGTTTTGCATAAGATTTATTTCAACAAACACCGTAAAATTAACTCAATTTTCAACAAATTTCCCAATTTATAAATACAACCAAAATATTGCCCACTCACTTTATGCTCACACTAGTACAACCAAATACTACAAAAACTATGTTAAATGCAGTATTTTATTGGTTGTACGTGTGTGTGTTGGTCAAAACAGTTTGCCATTAATTTAGTAATAATTAAATGATTATATTGTATATAAGTGGTTTTTTATGCTGTTCGCATTGGAGCTTTGCTTCCATTGTTAAATATATGTAAAAACTATGATATATACAATTTTATAATTTTTGCCCTTAAATTCATTATCTATATACATACATACGGACGTTGCAAAAGATAAACTCACAGCCAAAACTGGCATTTTCTCTCTCGTAGGTTTAGGCTCTAATGATTTTTGTAATTTTCTTCCCCCAATCGTTGGTGAAGTTATCGTCAATCCGAATTTGTTTTGAGCTTATTTTGAAAATACTGGTATTCACACCGAACATGTTAATCTCGCAATTCGTTAGTTGGTATTTTGTTTAAAAACTCGACTGTGAATATACCTTTTTTCTCCATCTCAGCAGCGTGCTAATTTTGGCTTCAGAACAACTGATTTTATTCAATTTTTCTTAATATTAAAAATTTCTCAGAGAGAGCATAAAAACTGTCGAGAATGTAATTTAAAAGTTTGTGGAAGAACGAACCAAAAGAAACAGCTGATTTGAATTTAACCAAATAACCAAAAAGTTATTAATCTTTGGCAGTACCGGTCTGCCGGTTACTCGACACTGCGATATGCTGTTAATTTTACAAAAACAAAATACGCGTAAAAAACTTTCAAATAACCATTGACGAATTAACAAAGCCGGTGTGAATACCACTTTTATAAACTGTAGTTAATTTATAGAATTTTCTTCAAAAAGCTGTGCTTGACATTCCCTGCCGAGAGGCGATCGTAATTTGAAAATTTATTCTTAAATATTGGTCGAACAAACAGGTTTATTTTCTAGAGCTATTTATGTGATAACCATAAAATCGACTCCCGGCCCACTTTTCTATAGAAAAATTGTTCCAATTTTTATGTAAATCAAACGATATCAACTGTTATGAATGGTAGTGTTTCTGTTTTGCCGAATCCGTTCGAGGAGTTGGAAATCTAGCTTTCATAAAAGGTAACAAATTATGTTTCAGTCAAGAAAATGTGGGTTTTTATCTTAACTCGACAACGATCTAAAATAGATATTAAATGATGTATAAATATGGATACTTTTCAAAAAAAAAATGCTTTCCAATATCCTTCTAAGATTCTTATTTATCATTCAAATGAAAATGTTTGAATCCATCTTGGCACCAGTTAGCCGGTAATTACATACAAAACTAACTAACCTCAAAGTTGTATTGCTCCCAGAGGGAAAAGCGAATTTTTTTAAAAACCTTAAAGAATTTATTCCCAAGCCTTTCAATGCTTTTTCGCAAAGATGATTACGAGGGGTCGTTTTTGGATTCGAAAAATGAGACTGTTATAGGTGTGTGATTAGGCTCATTAGGATTGTAACGTGTGAGATGACTCTTAATTAGCATAAATACTAATAAATAAATTTCATTGTTATTAGGCATTCGAATTTAAGCTAGCGTCAAGCAAATAAACATTATCGGGAGAGTAGAGTGAAATATGGAATAATCGACTTATAACATCGTGTCGTTCTCTACACAACAAGGAAAATCAGTTGTGACCATAATATTCGTATATTTGGTGTTAAAACCATAATTTAAAAAGGATTGGGAATGCAGAAGCATCAAGGTTACCAGAACTAAAATAAAAGAATTGAAAAAAATTGTTCTTGACGATGCACCTCCATTTTGAGATGACTTTCGAGACGGTTCGACTTTTGGGGAAGTGCTGCGTTGACTCTCACACATAAGGTGGGCTTTGATATTTTGAATCTCCCACACAACAGTACAGACTTGGCCACGAGTGAGTATTACCTGTTTCCAAAAATTTAAAAAACAAGCGGCGAGCGGTCAAAAATTAATCACCAATAATGATGGAGGAGACAGTATCGGCGCATTTTGAAGTTAAAGAGTAAAAAT